CACAGTGTCAGAACAGCTCCAGTATACTACCAGCATGATCATACCACATGGCCCTTGGCAGAAACACGGGCCAGGAACATCACAGACTGTGACTGTGGCAGGACTATGGACTCAGAAATGTTCCTTGGCAGGAGACCAGAATGTCACTGTGCCCCTAGGTGGCCATTCATACCATCCAGATTGGCAAGATTTCAGGAGCAAGGCTCTTGGATTCCAAAGTGATCCCAGTTGGTGGCCCAAACCACAGGGATCTGCAGATACCCAGAAGCCAAAGGAGCCACAATCATCAACACAGGCCCCCTCAGATGCTCCAGGACCCCAGACTAAGACCTGGTCCCTAGCCACTAGTCATAACCCAGGCCCAGCATCACTCTGGACTCAGGTGACCAGCTGGCAATTCCTGTCAGTCCATTCTCTCATCACTCTCATCTCTCCAGATCTACCTCTCTCCCCAACCCATAAACCATTCCTTCACCCCCTTCCTTTTACTTCCACACTCTATACTCTGGTACCACAATGGTGCCCAACAGACCTGCACCAGTTGAACTTCTGGTTTATTGTGACCCACAGATTTAAAAAAAATCTGGGGAAGGGGCTGCCATCTGTGTCCTCCACTAATCCAGGGTTCCATCTGAAACATTTAAACCAGCTGTTTATGCCAATAGTTTATAGGTAGTTACCAACTTCCTTTAACTTTGAGAGTGAATTAAATTAATATCAGTATACCAAACAGTTACAATACCATTGTTAGACCCCAACTCTAGTATGCTAACTCCTCAGAAGGATCGCCCCATGAAACCACTCACCAGTCCAGTTGATGCAAAACAAGAGGAATTTTATTCTCAGCCCCGACTAGCACAGGCTGCTTTTAAAGGCAAAAACCACATTTTCAAGAAGGGGTTGTTTGTCAAATGCAAAGATTGGCTCATTTTAAGGGCATTTACTATGATTGGTTATGTCAAACGCAGGACAGGCCTGGGTCAAAGGACAGGGGAGCACCTGCAGGCTGTTGGAAAACACCTATTTTTCTAGTCAATAGGCAAGGTGGGGTCACTATTTCACAAAACATGTTTTCTTCATCCCCTCCTCTTGTTTTGGGAATATTCCAATCCTGGAATATCAGGGGTCCCCTTTTAGGGCCTGGTATTGTTGAGGGGCATGTGGGTTTCCTTTAACTAGGGCTAGTAGAGTCAAAGTTATTATAAGATTCTAAAAGTCTTAGTTTGAGTGGATTCCAAGCACACTGAAGTCTCCATCTGGCTTGAGCCAAAACAGAGACCGAGACTGAGAAGCGACATGACCTTTCAGGACATTGCTATAGAACTGCCCCAAGGTGTCCGCACAAATCTGCAAATAACAAAACAAACAACAAAAATAATAGAAAAGACCTGTACAAAGCTGGCACCCAATCCCATTCTGCCCCCAAAGTTTCACAAGTCCATCCATTCGGCAGATTGATCACAGGCTACTCATCTCTCAAATGAATCCTGTGGTAAGACAAGTCATTCAGCAGAGGTGCAGAGTGCAGAATGGAGACCCTAGTTTGTGATTCACTACTTTCGCAGAACACAGGCAGTACAAAGCAAAGTTTATCAAGACATGGGACTATCACAGCACTACAAAAGAGTACTAACTCTCCCTGGACTAAGGAAGCTCCGGTTGGGCATCCCGGTCCATAAGATCATTCCAATGAATGATAGACTCCAGGTCACAGTCCAAGTACTCAATAAGCACTCTATCCACGTTACTTGGGAGCTTCTCCTGGTGGAGGACACCCATCCTCCCATAGCCATTGCAGCTGCTCACAGAGGAGTAGCCACCCAGGGCACGCATCTGCATGGGGTGGGACAGTGTCTTCACAGCAGTCAAGCGGTTCATGGCAGGTGTGTGAGGCACGGTGTTCACCACATGGGGCAGGGCATGTCCATTGACTGAAGATGTTTGCTGTGAATGTCCAGGAGATGCCTGCCTGGCATGACTGAATTAGGGCCCGTCACCACATCCTGGCCCAGAACCCTAACACCTGTCGGGCCGGGACACCCCAGGACCAGCCAGCAACACAATGTCACTGTGGGGAGGAGAACCAAAAGTCAACAACTCCTTCAAGAGTCCTGGTGAAGAGCCACACTAGTTCAATCCTCCACAACTGGACCCTCTGTCCCGGAGAGTCTGCACAGACATCAGGGGCAAGGAGCCCACGCTGGAACTGCCGCACGCATACCCTGAGTAGTCCAGGCTGGGTGAACCCAGACTGGAGACCAGCGGTGCAGACGATGTCCGCTGCACCATGCTGCCAGCTGAAGACAAGGCTGACACAGCCAAAGACGGTGGGGATGAGAGAAGACCGAGATCATCCAAAAGGTTCTCCATGCTTTCAGGACCGCTGACTTCAGGCAGACTCGGCAGAGTGGACACCATCCCGCAGCAGACAGTGGACACACCAAAGAATGCACATCCCCATCCCCGAGGCCATCCTGCTCCGCTCCGTCATGATGGGAGAAAGCCTCCCACGGATTGCACTAGCACTTGAGCTGGTGTGAAGGGACAGGTTATGACGAATTCATTTTTTTTCCACCAGCCGAGCTGTTGCTGTCGCCCTTATCCTTGAAGTAGGGCACGCTCTTCACCACCCACTTGTAGATCTCGGCAGCGGGAGCCTCTTCTCAGCCGGCAGAGCTCTCGATGGCCTTGGTGGTGAGGTCGGCACGAACTGCTCTTGCGCTGGCCTTCCCATGAGTGGCCCGGCGGCAGTGTGGGGCATGGATGGGGGCTGCGCCAGGTGCCTGGTCGGCGGGGGTTGCTGCAGCGGCGTTGGGTGCAAGCAGCTAGCCTCGAGGCCCTGGAAGTTCTGGCAAAGGCCCCTGCTGGCAGCAGCCCTGGCCTCCACTGCCACTCAGCTGGACACCCGCGCGAAGTCCTCACTCTTCTCCAGCAGGCTCAGGTTGCTCATGAAACCGGTGCTCACAGCAGACGCCAAAGCCAGGGTTGCCGTGGCGTCGGGGTTGATGGCCGCGCTGCCCGACAGCGCTGGGCTGGAGGTGATTCAGTTGGACTGGTTAAACTCCAGCCTGGGCAGCGGCCAGGTGTAGGAGCGCAGCTGAGGCAGCAGCTTGACCTCCTGGTCGGTCTCCACCACCTGGAGCGCTTCGACCGTGGTAAGCCCCGCTCCTCCCCCACCAGCATAAAGGACCGGGAGCCTCAGCCACCGAGATTTGGGGCCCCGGTCAGCGGACGCAAGCCGGAGTGAGGCACAACGCGGCGGGCTGACGAACGTGCCCAGAACTTAACTTCGCTGCTGGGCCACCGGGAGTCCAGGATCCTCCGAATTCGTGGCTTGGAAGGGACACGAACCAGGCCGCAGGGCCCAGCAGCTCGGGCGCCTCACTCCTGCTGACAGGGCTGCAGATGAGAGAGCAGACGGGCAGAAGCCTTCTCCCCACAGCCGGGCGACAGCGGCGCTGATGCCTGTCTAATATGGCGGTGGCCGGGACTGCGGCGACTCCGCAGCCTCCCGACTGACGGGATCTCGGAGTTATAAATCCTCCTGGCCATTTGGGAGGACAGCCGGAATCTCAAGTTTGGGTTTTGGAGGTTCCTTTAAGGAACTATGTTCATAGCAGCATTATGTGTAGTAGCCAAAACCTGGAAACAACCTAAATGCCCCTCAGTGAAAAAATGGATGAAGAAAGTGTGGAATATGTATGCATTAGAGTACTACTCAGCGGTAAAAAACAATGGCATCTTGACTTTTGCATGCAAATGGATGGAAATAGAAAACACTATCCTGAGTGAGGTAACCCAGACCCAAAAAGATAAATATGATATGTACTCACTCATAAGTGTATTCTAGCCATAAATAAAGGACATTGAGCCTATAATTCGTGATCCTTGAGAAGCTAAATGAGAAGGTGAACCCAAAGAAAAACATATAGTTATCCTCCTGGATATTGGAAGTAGACAAGATTGCCAGGCAAAAATTGGGAGATTGAGGGTGGGGTGGGGGTAAGGGGAGATGGGGAGAAAAAAGTGAGAAGGGGAGGATGGGGAGAGCTTAGGGGAATGGGACGGTTGGGATGGAGGAAGGGTGGATATGGGAGCAGGGAAGTATATATCTTAATTAAGGGAGCTATTTTAGGGTTGGCAAGAGACTTGACTCTAGAGGGGTTCCCAGGTGTCCTTGGAGATGTCCCCAGCTAGATCCTTGGGAAGCTGAGGAGAGGGGGCCTGAATTGGCCTTATCCTATAGCCACACTGATGAATATCTTGCATATCACCATAGAACCTTCATCTGGCAATGGATGAAGCTGGAGACAGAGACCCACATTGGAGCACTGGACTGAGCTCCCAAGGTCCAAATGAGGAGCAGAAGGAGGGAGAACATGAGCAAGGAAGTCAGGACCGCAAGGGGGTGCGCCCACCCACTGAAACGGCAGGACTGATCTAATGGGAGCTCACCATGGCCAGCTGGACTGGGACTGATGGAGCATGTTGGTCAAACCGTACTCTCTGAATGTGGCTGACAAGGAGGGCTGACTGATAAGCCAAGGACAATGGCACTCGGTTTTGATTCTACTGTATGTACTGGCTTTATGGGAGCCTAGTCTGTTTGGATGTTCACCTTCCTAGACCTGGATGGAGTGGGGAGGACCTTGGACTTCCCACAGGGCAGGGAACCCTGACTGCTCTTTGGACTGGAGAGGGACAGGGAGGAGGAGTGGGGGGAGGGAGATGGAAATAGGGGAGAGGGAGGGAAATGGGAGGAGGGGAGGAGGTGGAAATTTTTAATTAAAAATAAATAAATAAATAAATAAAAGAGATCCGTGTTAAATACGCTATAAAATGTCTTTGAAAGTTCTAATTTAAAACAGCATTGATCAGAACTGACGGAGGTAACTTGACTTCAGTGCTTTTTGCTTCACAGCAAACTTGAGAAGCGGTGCACATCTCCAAGCTGCCTGCTGCTCTTCTCATCCTTTCGGTGGCACTAAACCACGTGAAAGCTCCAACTGTCAGAAGGTTGGTATTCTGAAAATCTCTACTTTATTTGAAAAGTGTGGGGAAATTACAATTGAACAATGCAGCCAGGAGCAGTACTTGAAGCTTAATGTTTTCCTAATCCTGCATTCTTAAAAACAAAGTCAGTGACTGCTGATTGACTGGAAGAACTTCTTAAAGATGGGCATGGATGATGACATTTGTCTGGAAACTCGTTAGAACCTACAGGGGCAAACCCAGAGTAAAACCGGGCAAAAGCCAGAAAAACTGACAGACATTCCTGCTGTTTAAACCCAGTACTGAAAGAAATGGAAGGGATTGAACAAAACAATGAATTTCATGTCAGCTGAAATTTTGGTGCATAGTTTTAGTACTGTGCTTATTGTTTGTTCTTCTTCAGAAGATACAGGAAATATCCAAACTTCTGCATCTCCTTCTGGAAATTGAAACTATAAAATCGGAGACAAATGAAAAATGTTAAGAAGTTAAACTTCAGAATTAGTTTAAAAGTCACTTGTTATTTGAAGGTCATTCCATGCCATGGGTATACAGAATTATAAGAAGTTATTACATACAATATGACTCTGAGTATCTGTGGATGTAAATTAGTAATACCTGAAATATTGCCAATGTATAAATTGTTCATATATATTATCATGATTTCTGAGGAAGGCTTATTGGAAGCATCAAGGTAAACAAAGAAAACTAAATAATAGTTTGAGGAAATCTAAGGTAAAGACAGCTAACAGAATAGTAACAATTCCAACCATCAGAGGAAAACCACTAAAAACTGCAATTCTCCATCTATTTAATAGATTCCTGAGACCAAACCCATGAATATAATTTAAATTATGTAATGAAAATTTGTGCCTAAATTAGTTTTAAGCAATATATTCTCAGGAATATATTACCCATCTTGGGCAGCACAAAGAATTAAATTTACCTTTGAAAATTCATGTGATTTAATCTCTCATTGGAAGTATCATCATCATCTCTTTTTATTCTCTGGAATATGTGTTCTTGGGTAAAGGTCTGTGTCAGTGTACAGACATTTCTACAACACCAGTTGTGATTAATAGCAGGAATCATCAGAAAGTGGCTTTTGTCATCTTAAAACTCAATGGTTTCACACATTGTTCTCTGAACTAAATGTAATTTTCAATAGAAATTTTAATGGCTAAAAATAATTATAAAACCAATATGAAGTTTCTAAGAACCAGAACAATTGAATCCTGACAGAATATTTAACAGAATTACCTAATATGTCTGCTAATATCTTGATTTTTTTCTTCCAGTACATTCAGAGAGATTTGCTTAGCAACTCTACTGAGTGTGTCTGTGAGTGCTCACATTTTATACAGTGAACTTTAAAAATAGAATAATTCATAATATTATTATCTGTCAGATCATTTTTGTGTTTTCTCATAATTACTTGTCTTGTGCATACTCACAAGACAACTGTAAAATGTTTGCTAATGCATTTCTTGACATCAGTATGCTCATTGGTGATGGAGAATGTTTACAGAGATTTCTGTCCCACCTGATCCCACAGTCATTCAGTCCCAAAGAAACATGTAAAGTCCTACGTTAATTATAAACTGGTTGGCCTATTAGTTCAGGCTTTCTTATTAACTAATTCTTATATCTTATATTAATCCATAATTCTTGTCTGTGTTAGTCATGTGGCTTGGTACCTTTTATCCGTGAATCTTTCTCATCTTGTATCTTCTTCATCTGGGTGATGACTGCAAACTAATCCTTTCCTCTTCCCAGAATTCTCCCATTCTCATCGTCCTGCCTCTACTTCCTGCCTGGTCTCCCCACCTATACAAACAGAAAGGGATGGAAAATGCCCCCAGAAATTATTGCATAACACTTCATTAACCTTGAATTTTTTTTAACCCTAGTGAGAAAGGAACAATGGCAGCAGAGGGATATTTGATAATAGAAAAACTTCTGAATTGAATCAGCAAGTATATTTCAAGGATGTGTTGACTTCACAATGGAAACCAGGAGATGTGCTACGTTGAGGAAAGTGTTTCACTCTTGTTTCCACAGGAGAAGAAAAACTATGGATACCCTCAAAATCAATAAAGATTCAGTAGGAAAAGGAAAAACTGCTTGAGAAAGAAAAATGACAGCTCATCCCTAGAGTTGACAACCATACAGATGGTAAGAAAACCTCATAAAGATTGGGGCAGAATTCTGTTCTTGCCTTTGCAGGAAAATATTCATCTCCAAAAAAGACCTTGGACATCTAGATGCCTAAAGGGGAAAAGATAGATACCAAAAAGGATCAACAATCAAAGGGAAATCTGACTTATGATGCTGTATCATCTACATGATAAAATTTGATTATCTGAGCATGTATATATCTCTTCTTAAAAATAAGAATTGGCTTTGGAGTTGGACAATGGCTTCTCTAAATCCAAGTTTGTTTTTAAAAGAAAAAATCAGAACTTCTGTCTCATGTCAGGAGCCATCTGGTATAGGACAGAAAGAAGATAGGTTTTAAAAAAATATTTTACTTTTCTCCATTCCCATTTTGTCTACATTGTATTTTTCATTGAATATATTTCTATATGAATAATGTTTAAGTTTTCAACAATTAACAGTAGATTTCCTGCAGTAATCTTTGAAGCTTCCAGGAAGAAGATGTAGCCCCACAACAATGACTCCACCTGGTTGATATGACGTCATGATGCTGACAGCGCTACTATGAGACCAGTTTTTGGATACCAACTGTAAAAATGATGCACCTTCTTACAATATTCTGGCCAGAACTCCACATAAGAACTTCATAATAATAAATCTATCGACTATTCAGAGACCATTTTGCAATTATACAAAACAGCAACAGAGCAATCTTGAAATTTAACCATCATTTGGCATTTGGTGTGGGATAATTCTGTATTCTGTCAATTATGTTTTAAATAAATGCTGATTGGCCAGTAGCCAGGCAGGAAGTATAGGCGAGACAACCAGACAGGAAGTAGAGACAGGGAAATGAGAACAGGAGAATTCAGGGAAAAGGAAAGTCCATTCCTCTGCATTCCTGTCCGACCACAGAAGGAGCAAGATGTGACTATACTGCTGAAGAAGGTACTGAACCATGTGGCTAACACAGATAAGAATAATGGGCAAATGTAAGTTATAAGAGTTAATAAGAAGCCTGAGCTAATGGACCAATCAGTTTATTATTAATGTAGACCTCTGTGTGATTTCTTTGAGACTTTATAACTGTGGGAACCAGGCAGCACAAGGATTGGGTGGGACAGAAAACCCCAACAACAATCATTTTACTTTTATAGGTTCCCATAGAAAAAAACATCGCCCCCATGACAGCAAGAAGCAATTCTAGAAGACAATGTCCCCTCTCTCAACAAAGTTTGTCCTCATGGTTAGGGACACCATTTGGTGTTGTTTATTACTCACAAAGAGTTGGGGGTTGGGGTAGAAATTATGTAAGCCCAGAGTTCAAAAAAAGAGTAAAAACTGAATGGGATAATAGGTAGATTAGTGTGAATTTATTCACACTAACAATAATAATAGTGAGTAATAGAGTGAATACTTATGAGCTATTATTTATGGACAATTTACATTGGTATAGCTTCTTATATATTGATACAAGTTCAAATTATAATTGTTATTTCTATTTACAATATTTGTACAACTATTCAAAGTTATTTTGTCATATTGTATGTATGCATGTTTCTGCCTCTATTTAAAATATTTTGTATATTGATACAATTTTAGGATATATTTATCATATTGAATTATAATTTATACCTCTGGTTAAGATATTTACACATTGTTTACATTTTGAGGTCATTGTCCTCCTTTAGTGCACAGTTGTTTAAAGATTGTTTAATATTCTGATATGAAGTCTTAATCTTTAAGTTACATGCATCTTGAAAAAAGATGCTGTTCCAGATGCTAGTGATAAATGATACATTTCCACTCAAACTAACTTTTCTAGGAATCAAAATGCTGTGTCTTCACAAATGGGATACTTTCAGCCACCTAATTTTTGCAATCATTTAGATAAAAAAAATCAATAAATGGTGGACTCAGTTCTTTCCTCTTCTGTAAAGGGCTTTTTTATTATTAATCTTTCTTTTATCCATACATTGCTCTTGAAGAAAAATTATTTTAACCATATTTTATGTGTATGAGATAAAATGAAAACTCATAAAAGAAATTAAATTGAAAGGCAAATGCCTTGGGCTTTGTTCTTCCTTCAGACCCTCACACTGGCCCAAAGATGATCACTTGTGAACTTGCAAACAACTCTTTGCTCCCTTTGATAGTGAGTTCAACCATGCTAACAAACACATATCACAAAATATTAACATATCAAGTTCAGTTTCACACCATGGCCTACATGACACAGTGATTGACTCCCCCTTCCTTTTCCGTTACTTCTTCCAGATTCTGTGTTGTTTAATGTTGAAATTTTAACTTCTTGAAGTTTTTATTATAATGAAATTACAGCTACATCAGTGAGAAACTATTATACATTCTATTAGGTTTAGATACATAAGAATACTAAACAGGAAACTTTCTCATCTGCAGGTTTTCCTGCCTTTTCCCTTGCTCCTCTTCTACACATCTGTCTGCTGTACCCTGATCACACCCTGATAAGAGTAAAGCTCAGAATAATAACCTATCTACCTGGGTCTCATAGACACCATTAGGAAATCCTCAAGGATTCCATTGCCTATGTTTTCTGGATTGCTTTCCCCACTAAGTGTCTAGGACGAACCTGTGCTACTAGAGGGAAAGACTACAGTCTTCGTAAAGGGTGAGTCTCAAATTTTAAGAGGAAAAGACTATATTCTTTGTAAAGGATGAATCCCAAGCACTGAGTATAAGCATGGGAGCAGAAGTCCCAGGAAGATCAGAGTCATCAGAACCCACAGAGCTGGGATCATAGGTGGTTGAGGGTCGTGAGAACCATACTCAGATCCTGTGCAAGAGCAGTACATGCTCTTGACTGCTGAGCCATCTAATCAATACCCCTGATCCTTTCCTTTTATAGGACACAGTCACTAATTCAGGAAATCATAGCATGAAGATAAGTGCAGAAAGAGCTTCAGTTAAGTTGCCTACCTTCTCTTTGCTGTTGTTTGGGTTTGGACAATTCCCTCAACGGCCCATGTGATAAAGTCTTCAGGAAAGAGTTGTTGAAAGGTGATCGAAGCATTAAGACATGGTGACTAGATACTAGGTCACTGAACCCTTCTCTCTCTCTTTCTCTCTTCTCTTTCTCTGTTCTCTCCTCTCTCTCCCTCTTCTCCTCTCTCTCTTCTCTCCCCCTCTCTCTTTCTCTCTCTTCTCTTCTTTCTCCTCTCTCTCATCTCTCTGTGTGTTTTCTCTTCTCTCTCTCTCTCTCTCTCTCTCTCTCTCTCTCTCTCTCTAATTCACAGTCAATGTGAGGACAGCAACTTCCTTCCTATGAGTTTCATCCCAATGCATTGCATAGACCCAGGCCCAAAGCAGCAGGGCCGAGTGATCATGACCTGAGACCTCTGGAGCAAAACAAGCTCTTCTTTCATGGAAGTGGATTGTCCTTAGTTCAAGTAACAAAAAGTTGTCAGCGTAACTCTCCCATGAACATTCTGGCTCCCCAAAAGAGTTTCTGAGGTTGTACCTGCCTTCAATCTGCTCTAGACGGTAGAGATTCTCAATTTATTATACATAAATAAACATTGTATATTGACCCCTCCACTCCTTTATTTTCTTCAACATCCCCATCTTTAGGTATTTATACCATTTTTATATTACTGACATCCTTTACCAAAGGAAGAAAAATGAAGGAAAGAAACAAATAGTCATGTCCATGCTACTGTCTTAAGTCACAGCTATAAAACAACAGGCAGACTTGCTGTTTCTTAGAATCTCTTCATTCTTTATCAGGCACCCAATAAACTTTTTTTCTATGTCAGTTACTTTTCACTGCTGTGATTAAACACCACAAAGCAACCAAAAGAAAAAAGAGGTTATTTTTGCTTATGATTCCAGAGAGACAGGAGTTCCTTACGGCAAAGAGACATGACAGCAAGCACCAGGCATGGTGACTGGGGCAGGAAGCTGAGGTGTCACATCCTCAACCTAAGCACTAAGCAGAGAGTAAACTGGTGGTAAGGGAGGCTTTTAACTCTCAATACCCAGGCCAGTGATTCACTTCCTCCATTAAGGATGAACCCCCTACTCCGCTCCAAGCAGAGTTATCAACTGCTAACCAAATGCACAAATGCCCGAGTCTACAAGGGACAGTTCTCAATCAAACCACCACAATTTGACTTTGGTTTGAAAGTGTACCTTGAATTTTATTAATTCCAAGATTTATAGCAATAGTCACACTTAAAATCTTTCTACGTGCTTTTATTTATCTGTTTGCCAGTGGGGAAGTACAGGAGATGAGGGCATAGGACAGCTTACAAGAGATGGTTCTCTCTCTTGGTCCCAGGGATCAAAACCACCTTGTAAGACTTTGAGGCAAACATCACTTTCCACTGAGCCACCCAGCTGGCTCTGCTTTGAAGGTTTTACTCTAAGGTAATTTTGAATATTAATTCCTATGTGCTCCGAGGACACATGAGTAAAATAAACACTGGACCAAAGAATATTTGAAATATTTGGATATTTGAAAGTAATCTTTTGATAACATCTGACACAGCATCCAGCCTTGCTTTTTACTTTATTTTATATTTTATTGTATTATCAGTAGTTTACCTTATTGTTGAACACAGGGTCTCCCACATTCTAGGCAAGCATTGTGCCAAAGCCATACAGTCTCAAAGGATTGGCTTTCTCAAATATTTGCTTTTAAAAAAGAGTTTCATTACCATATTTTAATTGCTAGGGAGAATTCTGGGCATCTTTGCTACATGATTTTAAATAACGTGATTAAATATTTCAGTGCTCTAAACAAAATGATCAAATGTGTGATATGAGTAATGAAATAATGGGGTGAAAACAACAGATGACACATTAATGAGAAGTCTAATTTTGGAAGCATCATTTCTAGAATACAAAAAAAGAGAGTTTATAACTCTAAATAGATAAAAAGGTATTCATACATCTTGCACATAGAAAAGATACATTTGAACAAATTATTTCAATGTAACACAACCAATATATAAATTTTCAATTCTAAATATCTCCAACTTTGCAGCATAAATTCAATAAAATTGAATAGTGTCTCAGGAATGGGCAAGTTTTAACACTATTTGCAGATATGTGAAAAACACACAATTGCTTTGATTGACTTAAAAGAGAAAATGCTGTTTGAAAATGAAGGCAGCTTTAAAATTCAGTGTGGGGTCACCATAGTCTTCCCTGGGAAAATCTTAAGTACTACCCCAATGTTATGAAAATGCTATCAGTAAATATTTTCATCATGAGCAAAATAATTTTTGAGGTTCTTCAGGATAAGATGAGTCCCTATAGTACAGCTCTCATGAGGTACTGTAGGTTCAAAAGAACCAGATGCACACTCTCTCCATGGAATTGGGCAGGTCAGTGGAAACCTTATTACAGCTTTGTTTTCAGTTCTTTGTCGTTCTCAACCTCAGGATTTCCGTGCACATCCTTGTGCTCGCCTTTCTTTTCGGTGAGCTTCATCTCTGGACGTTCAGTCTCTGAAAAGTCAATTTCCCCGGGGAGTTGGACCTTCCTCATAAGTATTAGAATGAAGATTCCCGGGATGAAACTTGATCCTCTTAGAGCTGCTGGCAACCCAAGGTAAATACGCCTGTTGAAAACAATTGATCTGTATTAAATCTTAACATACTCAGTGAAAGCTAATTCTGTATATTCTCACAGATCATTTAGTCTTCAAAAAAGTCAGGTGATTATTTTGCCCATGTAATTTATATACTCTAGTTCACTGAGCTGTTAATTCTTTCTGTCAAAAATGTCAAAAACTTCCAACATAAAAGTTTGAACGTATTTTTTCAGTTTGGTGATGGCTAGTTTCCATTGTCAACATGACTGGACTTAGGATCATTATAGAAATACATCTCTCGGTGTGCTATGAGAATCTTTTCAGTAGGCTTAGTTGAGGATGAAGTCCCTAACACAGCATGCAATATGACCAGCCTCCTTACACTGTGCCAACAATCCTCCTCTTCCCTTACCTCACAATGGGCCATTATTCTGCCATTGTCATCTAGTCTCTTAAATACTGAGCC